CAGCAGCGGGGCCGCCCGCACGTCCAGGAACCCCGGGAACCGCTGCCCCAGCTCCGAGCTGCCCGGCACAGGAGCCCGGTAGACGTGGTGACCCCAGAGCTCGGCGGGCAGCAGGGCGCTCCAGTTCACCAACTGGAACAAGTGGCTGGATCCCGGCGGGACGTGCCGGTTGGCGCCCATCGCTTCCCGCAGAGACGGGTCCCCGGTGAAGTACTCGCTCCAGAACCTGACCATGAGGTGCCGGGAGAGAACGGGCTTGTTGGCGTTGTCTTGGTAAGAGGGCGAATTTAGGTCCAGGGTTTGGAGAGCAGGGTAAATCAAAGCTTGGGCTTTGAGATTAGTTTCAACTTCGGGGTCCTCCAATAGCTGCAGAATCGAACAGTTACAAGGAGTCAGATAAAAAGTGTTTCTTCTCCTACACCGACAGAAGATCTTTAAGGAATTAACACACAATTTTAAAACATAAGAAAGATAAGATTATCAACAAAACCAGGACAGATTAAAGAAATTATAAATTCACATTATCAACTGCCAAACATCAGACATGATTTCATTTTCTTTCTCAGATTGAAGGGTAACAATATTTGGGAAATATTCTTTCTGAAGCATTGATGCTTTCCCAAACAGTAACAAATGCTTTTGCTGACTATAGAAAGTTTCTGTTCTTATAGCCTAAAGCCTGCAGGTTTCTGGAACTCCTCTAATCATTTCACACAGTTTGGATCTTTGCCATCTGCTGGGTTTTTTACTCCTGAGGCATTAGAACTCAAACACCTACAATTCTCTGCATTTTAGACATGAGAGGAAATAAAACATGATGAATCACTGACATTTTCTGTGTATCAGCCTTTCCCCCTCTGCACTAACATTTCCACCTTGTCACTCATCTTCTGCCTTCAGTGTCTGCAGCAAATTCCCAGCCCCTCCAAGTGAGATTCATTACAATCCAAATCACTTTGAGAGCACCAAAGTCGCCCTATTTCCCAGACCCAGCGGCAGCTTTTCAAAGGGTGGGATCCAATGACACTTCAATGTTTTGTCCTTTTTGCTGCTACTTACATCTATGTAATTCAAACTGCTAAAATTCCCTTTTCAAACAACATACCTAAACCAGTCAAAATGGGCCTGAAGACCAAGTGATAAGCCCTAATTCTAGGGCAGAGTGTCTTCTTCAAGGTGTAAACGTCTGGAGGACACCACAGCCACTTTGGTGCCATTGAATGGCTCAGGTGAGCTGGTGTGGAAGCTCAGAGCCCCCGTGGACAGTCCTGCATGGCATCCCATGTGCACCCACCACAAGAGACCTTTTGGAGCCGTGCAGGCTTTGGGCAGAGGGGCTTTGCAATCTCTCACAAGAGTTCACGAAATGACAAAAACCACCACAACAAAACAAAACAAAACAGCTCCTAGCTAGCAAAAAAAGGTTGTGGTTTTTTACCTGTTGTGCCACAGCTGCAGCCAAGTTGCCACCTGCACTGTCTCCTGCAACACAGACCCGGTCGGGGTCCACCCCGTACTGGGCAAGGACACTTCTCTGGAGGAAGAACTTGGTCACTGCGTACACATCCTCAAACTGAGTGGGGAAACGGTGCTGAGGTGCCAGCCTGTAACTGGTGGGGGCAAGCACAAGGGGGTTACCTCCTGCGGGCTCTAAAGAGGAAGGCTGGCTGCTGGCTTCTGCCCTAGCTAGTGAGTGGTTATTATTTTCTGTGCCCAGAGAAATGGGAACTATTTATCCTGGAGGATCCGGTATTTTTGTTACACACCCAACTTCATAAAGCATTATCCAAAACAACCACCCACAATTCACCCCTGCAACCCTGAGACTTTTCATTTATAAACACTCAAAGCTAGCAGGAAAGCACGTGGTCAAAACATCCAAGACAAGCTGAGTTGATCCCCAACCCTCATCCCATGCAGAAGGACAATCTCTTACTTGACTGACACTACGACGGCGTTCAACCTGTTTGAAGTCCACCTGCTCATCTGGTCGTAGGACTGCAAGCCTGCAATGACAGGAATCCCCGAGGACACGTCACAGCACACACAGAAGGGACACACAGCATGTTCCTCTCCACAGGAGCTCCCAGGGGACTTTCCAAACCTCCCCCCAGCCCTTGCTCTGCAGCAGCCCGACGCTCCCACACACGCTGCTTTACCCAGACACACAGGCTGGGAGGTGTGATCCCACTGTCACTTGAAGGTTACCCCAAAGGGTGAAAAGTACATTATTTACACCTCTGAGCACTACACAAAAAAGTCCTGGAGGCTCAGCTTTCATGGCAGAGAATAACAAGCCAGAAGCACAGCAGGGGCTGGATGAAGCCCTCAGCTACACAGACACCTCCACACTGAAACTGAAGAGTTTGCCTGGAAAACATTATGACTCGTTCTCCCTGAAACAAGCAGCCCTACAACTACACCTGAGCTATAAGTTGGTTGCTGGTCACTCCAGCCATATCTACTGCACCTCCAATGCCAGTTCAGGTGGTGGCCCACATGATCACTCTGTCCATTTATGTAAGCACTGGAGGACAAAGAGAATGTGCCCAAGAGGGGAACACGTCTGGGAGGGAAGAGGAATCACTGCCACAAAAATGAACTAGCAGAAGCACAGAACCACAGTGCTCTAGAAAGCTTCTGGGCATGACATGGAAGGACACAGCTTCAGCTGAGCACTAAGAGCACAACTGTGACAGAACTAAAGACACACACTTGCCCTTTTGGGACCATGCTTATGAGAAATAAAGATACAGTTATAGATGACTTCTGATATGGCAAAACTCCCCAAAATAGATTTCAGGGGACAGTAAATACCTCCTGCCCTTCCCCAAGCAAGAGGTATGCGGAAGCATCTGAGAGTCAAGCTTCTGGGAAGCAAGGAACCCTCAGTCTCTGCATCTCCATTTGATTTCTACCCCTACATGGATGTTATTTCCCTTATTCAGACACTCGATTTTGTCCTTTTCCCCTGCTGACCCCACATAACCCAGCCAGGGCTGCAGATAATACACAAGAGAAGCAGAGCCCTGAACCAGACCCTTCGTCCTCCACTTCAAGATACACTGACCAGCTTCTCCCATACTGGTGCAACACCAGTTCCATCACCTTCCGTAAACCAAAAGGCAACACACAACACAGGCCATTGAGATCTTCTGCACAGATCCCAGGTACCGACAGAAGAACTCACCTGCATGTCCCACGCACCATCCTCCACCATGGAAGTAGAGCACTGCCCTTCTCAGCCCATCAGATGGCTTTCTGGGCAGGTAGAGGCGCACGGGGACGTTGCTGAGCTCCGTGTCCCTCACAGTGACGTTCTCATCGGATGTGGGTGGGACATAATCAGCAGAATGGAGCAGCATCAGAAACTCCATGTAGTCCATCAGCCCCAGCTTGTCAACAACCTCTGCCTAAAGCCCAAGCCAAAGAAAAGCAGGACTTGAAACACAGCCTCAGCTGCTCCCAGATGAAGTTTTCATTGAGCCTTTTGATCCTCTGTACAAGTCAGTCCAATTGCTGTAGAAGTCGAAGCCAAATGCTGCTGACTGGGAGAAGTTACTCCCTGGCACTATCACACTGTCCAGCCTGAGCTGTTCAACTCCCTGATCTCCATCACCTCCATGGGAAGCTCAGCAGTGGTGGCTGGAGGGCAGCCCAGGGGTCACCACCACTTGTCACTGCTAAGACAGTGACTGGAAACACAGGCATGGAGGATAACAAGGGCACAACAGAGAATGTGAAATAAAGCAGGGACAGCTGAAAGCTTCTGATCCCCAACAGGAGGGTCTGCTCAGTGAGCCAGACTGCCTTGTTTTTTCAGACACTTCCCTCAAAACCGAGAAACAGCTGCTGCTGTGGTGAGCTCCAGAAGCAAAGGCAGCCAGGTCTTTCAGGATGCCAAGGACATTGGTGGCACAAATACAAGGATAGAGAGTGACAGAATCACTGAATGGTTTGGCCTGGAAAGGGCCTTAAGAGACCACCTAGTGCAACCCTCTGCAGTGAGCAGGGACATCTTCAACCAGATCAGGTCACTCAGACCCCATCCAACCTGACCTGGAATGTTGCCAGGAATGGGGTACCACCTCTCTGGGCAACCTGGGCCAGTGTCTCACCACCCTCACTGTAAAATATTTCTTCGGTATATCTAGTCTAAATCTCCCCTCTTCTGGTACAAAACCATCACCCCTTGTCCTGTCACTACAGGGCCTGCTAAAAAGTCTGTTCCATTTTTCTTATAAACTCCTTCAGGCACTGGAAGGTGCTCTAAGGGTTCCCTGGAGCCTTCTCTTCTCCAGGCTGTCTCAGTCCAACAGCTCCATGTCATGGCAGCCAGGGCTTTCTTGGAGGCTTGAAGAGAAGACCCTCCTGGCCAGGAGGGTCTGCCAGCAGCAGCGTCAGTCCCCTTTTCCACACAGTGTGTTTGAAGTGGCTGGCAAACACGAGTGCAATGAGGCAGAAGCCAGGGGTATAACAGCTATAAAACCAGCATGGGAAGATGCAAGGACCAGGTTGTCCGTGGACACTGCCCTGGAACTGCTGGTGGGGTGTAACACCACTGCCTGTCTGGATTGCAAAACAGTTCTGTGCTGCTGAGCTAGGGACTGGGCTTTGGCAGGCAAGGCTACAGAGGTGTTAAAAGCAAAGTTTTATATAGAGAGAGCAGTTAATTTCTACATGCTCTAGTACTATCAGCCCTGTGATCGGCTCTGTGTAATTTTTAGGCTCATTCTGTCAGTAGATTCCTATGAAACCACAAAAACTAGTAGTTTTTAAGAAGTACACTGGTTTTCCTTTCCCTGCTGCTCAATGCAACACTTCCAAGGAAGGACAATAAGCAGGTCCTGTGGAAAGCTTGATATGTAGGTTCCAAAGAAACTTGGAACACGGGATCTGAGAAACTGGAGGAATGGGAAGAGCCACATTTCAGCTGCAGGGTAACAGAGGCTGCAGCCCCACCTGGCGTGCCCTTACCTGCCCTGGCCCATTGCACAGCACATTCCCATGCTCTGAGCAGTGCTTTCTCAAGACTGCACAACTAAATACTTTCTAAGTTTCTTTATAGTCAGTTACAGTGAGTTTACTGTTCATTCCAGCCACCACTTGGAATGTAACCCCGAGTCTGTTCCACAGGGAGGTGTGACATGAGGCCTCGCTGTGTCTCTCTCAGCCACAGGCCCCCGACCATCCCCACTGCCCCTCCCCAGCTCACCAGGTGCCCCGCGGTCCGGAGCGCAGCATCCAGAAGCATCACTTTCCAGGGCTCATCGATGTCCTCGGGGAGGGGGCTGTAGAGGTAGTAGGCAAGGAGGGCAGAGGCGAGGCAGAGGCAGAGCAGCTTGGCTCCCATCGCGGTCCCGGCTGCCCCGCACTGCCCGACCCGCTCCCGGCAGCTCCGCCCCAGCACACGCAGGGTAAAGTTAATCCCATGTTTTCCTTGGGTCCCAGCCAGGCAGTGATTTCTGGGCTGATCTCCCAGGACAGAGGTTACTCCACCAGGCACCTCCCAAGAAAACTTGTTTATGCAGCAAGGTGCTCAGGGCCAGCCGAGCCAGCACTTCAACCCCAGATCTAATATCACAGCTCCCACCTTCATCCCACCATCACCCCTTTTCCTGCTCTCTGCAACAACAGCCAGCAGGAGGGCTCAGGGCCCCTGGAGAATAAGGAATAGAATGTGCCCTAAGAACCAAGGGTCTGCTGCAAAGTGACAGTGGAATGCAAAAAGCTGTAACTGCATATTCCAGAGCTGGAGCTCCTCTGGTCAGCCATGGCCCAGGGTGCAGAGCCACCAGCCAGGACCAGGGGACAGCTGCATGGAGCCCACTGGCCTTTCTCAGGCAGTAACAGGCCAACCTGTGTTGGCAAAACCCCACCCCAGCTCCTGTACTAACACACCAAACCAGTTGCACAATCACCAGTTGGGCAGAAAAGAACTTCAATCTTTTGTAGAGCTTCTGGTTAATTTTTGAAAGACCAGATTTAACTGTTGCTTTTCTCTGGATGAAGAGGTTTGTATCCATCTCCCAGAGGCAGCCACTGCCACACAGTGTGGGCTCAGACCCAGGTAATAATTCCACTAAGGAAACACTGGGAGCACAGGCACACACAGGGGGTAACAAGAACAGCTGCAGCACCAAGAGCCCTGCTGCAGAGATAAATTGAAAAAGTAAAAAGTGCAGTCTAAGTGTGATTTCTCCTGCTGGAGTGTTACCAGGTGAGACACAGCAGCCCCACTTGTTCTCTCACAACAAGCAGCCCTCAGGTGTGGAGCAGCCTTTGGAGGACCAGACAGCACAAAGACTGAACACTGACCTGTGTTCCACCAGCCCAAACACAGAGAGGAGGCAGCTTTAGTCAACCTAGCAAATATTTTCTTTGCTACCATGCTGGGCACTTCCAAAATGTGAAGGTACTTTAGAAATCCAGCCATGCCCTCCCTCCTCAGGCTGGGATGGGTCACTCCCTTCTCCTTGCTGCAGCTCAGATCACAAGTTTCTCTCAGGGGTAGTTTCAGAGGCTGAAAGACAAAATGTGGGTAAAGGAGCAGAATTTCAGGCAACAGGGAAAGGACAAGCCCAGGCAGGGAAGGGCTGGGGACAAAGCCCTGTGCTCCCTGACCCTCCCCAGAAGCCCCTCTGAGCTCCCCAGACACACTTGCTCTGCCTAACACACACACACACACACTTATTTTGGGTCTTATTTTGCTGTACTTGAGGAATGTTTAACCCTCTCCCACACCAATGTCCAGCTGAAGCAGGGCTGTGCTCTTCCAACATGCTCTGTGCCCTGTTCTTGCCCAAGTTCACCCTTGGCTTAGGCAAGAGCTCACAGTGTTTATCTTCAGACACCAGCATCTACTGATCTCTCAGAGCCAGCCCTCCTGTCCTCCAGTGAACCCACCCCAAGTCACAGCTTGAAGTCATCATTTAAGGCAATCCTAAAGCACCAGCTTCAAGAGGGAAGCGCCCATATCGTGGCTATTTTTTAGAGCCCTGTCAGCAGAAAGGACCAGCTGAGACAGCACAAGGCCCCTCTCAAGCTGGGGGAATGGGGTTCCAAATGAAACGTGCACATGAAAATCCAGAGCAAGCCCATCCAGCAACTACCCTCGGTGCTACATCCCACCACAGAGCCCCCACACTGCTGCCACTGCAGGTTGCTGGAGTGTCCTGGAACCTCCTGCCCCTCGCTATTCCCAAAGCAAACCAACCTCCTTGTGCTGCTCTCCCTGTACACAGTGTCCCCACAAGGCCATGCCCTGTGCCCCCTGCCTGCCTTCAGCATTCTCACTTATTCCAAGCTACTGGTGTTTCAGAAAATAAGGATGGAAAAACTTCCCTGCAAACAGCAACAGACTCAAGGCCAGGGCTAAGGCTGCAATGGGAGAAGGAGCAGCTGGATGCCCAGAGCCACATCCCTGCACGTGGGCTGTGTCACAGACATGTGTGGTCAGGGCTGCCTGTCACTGTGTGTGGCACAGAGTGGGGACACTCACACAGGCTCCATCAGACACCAACCTGCTACCTCAGTAAAATCAGCCCTGCCAAAAATGAATATTGCTACAGCAGATCAAATTTTCCAGATGTGTTTTTGTAGGAAGAAACATGTAGGCTTGTAACTGATACGTGTCTGTAACAGCAACACCCCTTTCTTCACCCCACTCCCACTGCATCCCTGCTGGCTGTGCTCACAGCTTTACTGGCAAAGCAGCATCCAGGCCAACCAAGCTCTGGTCAAACAGATCCCTAGGAAACTCCTTGTTTTAGAAAAACATACCAGTAGATAAAAGCAGAAAGCATTTGCATGGCTGTCCAGCAACAGATGTATTGTCTAGTCTAAATGGGAAATAAGTGAGTATAGCCTGGGTGTGACACAGCCCTTCCTAGTGACACAGCACACACCAGAGACCTGAGCAAACCAATGATCAGAGGCTGTGGTACAGCCCTCTTACCCACACCTAAGGCTGCTGTTGTCAAAAGGGTCTGTCTCTGGAGAAGAAATGAAAGTGGGATGTGGGAAATCCCAGCTCCAGCCTCAAGGAGAGGTGGTGGCAGCAGCTCAGCAGGGCCCAAACGTGTCCCCAGCTCCAGCAGGGCCAGGCCAGGTGCCCCAGGTACCTGCCACAGGCATCGTGTGGGGACAGCAGGAAGAACAGAAATCCTCTAGTTCGTTACGCTGTGCACCGAGGTGGTCTGTTCATTCCACGGGCAGCGTTTTAGGGACTAAACTCGAGAGCCACGGGGAGGCAGCACAGCCCTGCAGAAGTCCCGCTGCTGAGTCCCGGCTGCCAGAGCCGCTCCTGCCCCCCCGCAGCTGCCGCTGCCACCCGGGGCTCCCGGGAGGGGAAGGGCAGAAAGCAGCCGGGAGACGAGCCAGAGCCTTGGAGCAAGCTGCAAAAATATTTCCTCTTCTGTCCTTTAAAACCTCTGATCAACACCTACTAAATGATCCAGAGCAGTGCGGGGCTGGAGACCCCCCTGAGGGGCAGCACCGCCCCTGCCACAGCCACCCCTCCCACCCAACACAGGAGCATGCAGCAAAGGCTGTCCAGGTACAGGCACTGGCATCTGGCTGCAATAGCAGATGGGGAAAAAGCATCACAGGAGCCAGAAATCAGTTACTTTATGTATGGAAAGAAACAGAGTGTTTCGAAGAGTGGCTACAAAAGCATCTAGAGTTCCCGTTTGCTCTGGGGTGCAGGGGCCGAGTCCTGCTGCTCCAGATCATCACAGCATCATTAAGGTTGGAAGGGACCTTAAACATCATCAAGTTCCAACCCCTCTGCCATGAACAAAACCTCATCCAACCTGGCCTTAAAAACCTCCAGGGATGGGGCATCAACAACCTCCCTGGGCAACCCATTCCAGTTCCTCACCACCCTTAGGGTAAAGAATTCCTTCCTAGTACCTAACCTAAATCTCCCCTCTCTCAGTTTAAAACCATCACCCCTTGTCCTATCACAGATACCCAGCAAGACCTTTGATCTGGGCAGCTCTTTCACCCTGCCCTGTGCATGAGGCCACATCAGGTGGCTGCAGGCTCCCTCCTGCAGTTGTAGCCTATGAATTCAGAGAGGGAAACTCAGGGTCACCCTGACCCCCACAGGCCCAGGGGGTCAGAGGGGCTGTGGAGCCCACGGGGCTGATCCCTGGCAGGGACTGCAGGCAGCCCCAGCTGCCAGAGACAGGCTGTCCTGCCAGGGCTCCCCTCCAGCTCCTCCAGGAACATCCCAGCACTTCCCCAACCAGCTGTGGAAGGCAGCCAGTGCTGCACAGCTCCAGGACACGTCGCTCTCACTGCCCCCACTGCCTTCCTCCAAAATCAGGAAAAAAGGGAAGACAAGGAGGGGGATTTTTCAACATGCAGGAGAGCATCTCTAATGTTGTTAATGAAGTAGCTACAGCCACAATGAATAGGACTACCAGAAAATAATAATTTATATTGGGTTTAATAATTATTAAAATAAGCACAGTAGTATTAGGAATTTCATTGACAAGGAAGTAATAATGGTATGAAACTGTTTACAGATTGTTTGTATCTACAGACCAGGAAACCTCTGAGCAGCAGGAAACATGCAGCAGAAATAGTTCCCATTTATTCCTCCAGCAGATTTAAAAATAAAGACACTATGTAGCTATGGTGCCAAAAGAAGCTCCTTTACTTACCTCTCTGCATCACATGCAGCACCTACAGAAAGAGCTATTTGAAAACACAGCTCACATTACCTGAGGTAACAGTTCAGCATGTCTGTGATCCAGTGTTTGGTTCTGCAGCCCAAGGTCAGAGTGAACCCCTTCCTTCAGCAGCCTCTGTGGTCCCACAGACACCACATCCACCAGGCACCCACGGAGCTGGCAACTCTAAAGATTCTTCTTCACGTCTCCACCGAGATGATCACTGTGAAATGCTATTCTCCCCCCCCAAAAAAAATGCATTTTTAAAGCCAATCCCACACTAACATTCTAGTTACATTCTCTCCGTTTGTTACAAACAGAACAATTCATTTGGCTAAGCAGAAAACTTGTTTAAAAGTAGGATCTGAAAGGCTCCTGTCTGGGCACAGGTTCCCTCTGCTCCCCATCTGCTGCTCTGCTCCCAGCCAGCCCAGCCTGCTCTCTGCTCCCAGCAGCTGGCTGGGCCACAGCTGAGCAGCGTGGGAGAGCTCAGCCAAGTCCAGGCCAGAGAGGCTTGAATAAACCAAAATGACCAGGAAATGCTGGCCAGTTGTTCAGAGCAAACCGGCTGATGCTCACTCATCACGCTGAATCGTGCAGCAAGAGCTGCTGGGGAAGCAGAGCTGGTGTGAAGAGCTCCAGCCCTGGGGCTGCCAGCAGGACCCTGGGGCTG